CCTTTTCAGCCGGGCAGCTTTCCAGTCCCTCGTCCCCAAGCCTGTAGCGTTGCATGGGGCTGTTGTGACCGAAGTGCAGGATCTGGCATTTGGCCTTGCTGAACGTCATACAGTTGGTCTCGGCCCATCAATCCCACCTGTCCAGATCCCTCTGTAGAACCTTCCTGCCCTCAAGCAGATCAACACTCCTGCCCAACTCGGTGTTACCTGTGAACTGACTGAGGGTGCACTCAATCCCCTCGTCCAGACCATTGATTAAGATATTAAAGAGAACCGGCCCCAATACCAAGCCCTGGGGAACACCACTTGTGACCAACTGCCAACCGGATTTAACGCCATTCACGATCACCCTTTGGGCCCAGCCATCCCAGCCAGTTTTTTACCCAGCAAAGAGTACACACGTCCAAGCCGTGAGCAGCCAGTTTCTCCGGGAGAATGCTCTGGGAGATGGTGTCAAAGGTTTTACTAAAGTCTAGGTAGACAACATCCACAGCCTTTCCCTCATTCAATTATACACAATTGTTTTTCTATACATTGTTTTATTTTTTCATTCATATATGCGTAAGGGTCACCAAGAAATACAGCCCAGTTGACTATTTATGCATAATCTATTTCTATCAGAGATAATACTGACCACGCACACACATAATCATTCATAGCAATTAATGGTTTGTGAGACTCCTATGAGTCTAATTACTCAGAAATGTCAGTTAGAGAGAGGATAATAGACAATTCTTCTCACTAAATGTCATTATTATTGAACTAGCATTTGTCATGGTTTAGATTTTTTTTTCCCAAAAAAACTCCAATAAAATCTTATTTTTGAAATGATTCAAGGAAAATTATTTTTATCTATTCTTAGTTTTTTGCTTCTCTTTGCTCTAAATGTTCTGGTTACCATAAATCTAATTGTACAGAGCTCAGAATCCTGCAAACTGCTCAAATAGCTTCTTTCTCTGCCTCTACATCTAGAAGTACATAATAACACATTTTTCAGTCAGCTCTCTGGATCTTTGTAAAAGGCATCTAGCTGTGGCATTTTACCAGATGAACTATGTTCAGGTAGTCCTTGGTACAAAAATACTGACTTGCTCTGTACAATAAACTAGTCTAACTTTGTGCTAAGCGCGCTTTCTTCCCTTCTGATCTCCCAGAAACTCTTCTCTCAAGTCCTCAGCTTAGTATCACCACTTGTTTCTACATAAAATAAAGCAACTTTCCTTCTTGCAAACAGAAACTGGGGCTGTAGCCCCCTGGTATTTATCTCTGCAGGTCTGGTTTAGATTCTGGCTGGCTTTGAACCTGCTCTCGTAGATGCGATGACACTAGGATCCAACACCTACTGATTGAGCAATTTAAGACTAAATACCTTTTGTATTTATTCAGCACAAAAGCATCCAGGAGAACAGAGTCTAAAAATAAAACTCAGCCTGTACTCATGCTTGCCACTCCCTGAGCTCTGCCACTTCTGCATCCAAGGAACAGTCACCCCTCCATGCTCCACTGCAGAATTTCTTTATATCGGTTTCTATCAGCTACTGTTGAACCCAGTCTTTAGATGAGCTTTCCAACTGTTATTTTTTTTTATTTGCTTATTTGTTCATCAGCTTTCCAGCTGGACAGACAAAGGCCTGACCCTTGAGAGAGCAAAGAAGATAACACTCCCAAAGCACAGCCGCCTGCCTCATGACTGCTACTCCCAGTGCTTGTTTGGACTGTTCATACAGATCCACAATACTCTTCTCGTTTTTATTTCACACACCAGACTAGGAAAACATCACATTCAAAGGGCTTACAACCAGATTTATTAATAACCTTACCTGACTGTGGTCACATTCAGCATTATAGTTATTTATATGGTGATTCAATTTCATTACAATTCACGTGTTTTTATGGCTCAAACACTGCATATAGTAATTGCCATTGAATAATAGAATTAGCTTAATTTAATCATGACTACAGACATAAATTGCTCATGACAAATAAAGTTAAACCCCAGGGGGAGGGGGTAGGAGCTATGTAAACCACACCAGTGCACTGGGTTCCCCACTACAGTATGAATACTGGGAGCTGTCCTCTAGAAACAGGACTGATGATTCCTGCGGTGGGCAGAGCCCAGAAATACCCACAAGCACAAAACTCACTTCAAATTTACATCCCAGCAAAATGAGTTAGATACATACAGCAGCAAGAATCTACTAAGAAAAAAAAATCAGAGGTGCTCCCCTGTGAAATCACCAGTATGTTGTGACACAATCTACTTATCACGTTTGCTATTTTGTGTGTGTGTGTGGTAATTTGGGATCACATACCTGTGGTTTCTCCATTCCAGAAAGAACGTCTTGAACTCTCTTTGTTTCTGAATCAAATTCTGTAAAATAGAGAATGTAGAAATAGGAAGAAAAATAAATTACCAGAATGAAACAAAAATGTCAGCTATGTCAATAATTCTTCAGGAATTTGTAAACAGGAGAGACACAGACATTACCTGCACACAAGCATCAGCTGTTTTGCTCTCGTGAATTTAAGGTATGCAGTTACATGGATTAATATTAAAAAAAATTATAGAAGAGAAAAAGGAGGGAATGAAACTTCCAGTAATCGCAGATATTCAGAAAGTTAGGAATATTTGTAGAGGTGTCCTCCACAAATAATGTTATTAATTGGGATTTGCTTTCACAGAGCAAAAACATCCTGTTTCCAAAGCTCAGCCGTGGAAGAAGTCCAGGGGTTTCTACAGCTCAATTACTGCTGAATCTAATCCTGGTTTGTTAACCAAACACATCCTTACTCCATCGGCTGGGCTATCTGCCTGCGTGCCAGAGCACTAGGCTACCAGAGAGGACGAGCATCCCTGCCCCAACACCCCAGCACCCACCCTACAGATACCTGTCCTTAGATACTGTTATCCTGTAATGCTCAAAGCTCTTCTAACAGCCACCTTTCAACTATGGAGGTAATAAAGTCATGGCAGGCTAATTCAGACGCCTACCAGCGGTAATCTGTCCTCCCTCCCCCAGCCTTGGGTCTGGTACAGCTCTTGCAGGGGCTACACAGCGTTATTACCGGACGGGGTGTGAAATACTTTCCCTAAATTAGATGGATTAATTGAGTGCAGAAGGTGCTGCGGAGGCAATCATCTGAGCAGTGGAATCTGCCTTTCCCCTATCCTCTCCCCCAAAAAAGTCTTGAGGTAAAACATCAGCTTAGAGTAATGAGGTGACACAAAGCAGCTTTATTCCTTTTGGAGCGCAGCACAGAGAGGCCTCACTTTCCACTACAGTATTCTCTAACGGAGAACTAGGAACATATTTTTTCTGGGTTTCCTCCCC